TCCCAGTAACCCCGGGGCCGCCGGCCAGCCTGCCCTCGAGGACACCCACTGCTAGGTCTGTGGGCGGGCAGGGTCCTCCCCTCGTACTGGGTCGGAGGGAACGCCATCATGTATTGTTCTATTTCTTTCTTTCTTCTTTCTCTTTCTTTCGCTTTCTCTTTCTTTCTTTTTCTTTCTTTCTTTCTTTCTTTCTTTCTTTCTTTCTTTCTTTCTTTCTTTCTTTCTCCTTCTTCTTTCTTTCTCTGTCTCTCACAAAGCAATAAATAAACTTTAAAAAAAGAAACTTATTGGGACCAGCAGTTAGTGTAATAGCTATGTCACTGGACTCCCATGTAGTCGACTGTGGTTTGCGTCCCGGACCCGGTGGCTTAAAATTCACGCTGGGTGCATGTGCGTGCGTGTCCAAGATCCCAAGAAGAGAAAGGAGGAGAAGGGATTGTGGTGTGGCCATCCCCCTCGGGGGGTGATTTCTCACTTTCTGTCTCTCTGTCTCTCTCTGTCTGTCTGGCAAGCGCACACACCCTATAGCAAAAGCCTCTCCCCCCCCCAAAAAAAGAGAAACTTATTAACCTGTCTCTTTTGCATAATACCTTATAGCAGACATCATATTATGCTCATACTTTAATTCCACTTTTCCATAACCTTTTAAGTCCCTCATATGTTATAGTTAACTATAGTAACCACACTGTGCAGTAGATTATTACAACTTGATCCTATTATCTTTAGCTTTGTGCTCATTGAATAATTTCTTTCTAGCTCCTGATCCACCCTGCCTTTTCCAGGCTCTGGTAAGCACAATTTTATTCTTTATGTCTGTGAAAACATCTTGTTCCAGATTCCACAAATGAATTAGATGATTCAGTATTTGCATTTTCTGTTTGGATTGCTTCTTTCCTTCTTTTTCTTTTCTCCTTTATTTTTTTAAATTTAATTTTATTTAGCTATTTTTGGACCAGAGAGAGATAGAGCAAGAGTGATAGAGAGGGAAAGTGAGAAAGCAAGCTGCCGGGTTTAGTACTTGAACTGCGGTTGGCCATGTGGGTTACCAGAGCCCTTAACCACTATGCCACCTGCTGGCCCTTTTTCTTTCTTTCTTCCTCTTTCTTTCATTCTTTCTCTTTCTTTCTTTTTCTCTCTTTCTTAAAATTTTCTAACGTTTGTATGTGCTGGCTAGTGAGATATACAGAATGAGCCAGAGAGGGAAGGTGAGATATGGGGCATGATCACAGCACAATTCTTTCTCCTCTATCTCTTCTTCTTTTGAGGATTTTGGCCATACATACACATGCCTTGCATGTCTCACAAGCTGCTGGGTCGAAGATTCAAACCTCACAGTAAGTGATGTGGGATCCAGACTCCTCAATCACCATGCCATGGGCTGCCTTATGACTGGCTTAGTTCAGTTACCAGAAAGGATTTTCTGTGCTCTAACTACAGAAATGATAAACATTTAAAATATGTTGACTACTTTAATTTGATTGCTATACATTGCGTGCGAGTGTCAATATATCACAATATCACATAAATAAAATACAAGTATTGTGCATACATCCATTGAAAAATATTTGAAAAACCCCAAATCTGAATGGGCCCAAAAATAATAAGAAGACAGAATCAGTAACAAAACCTTCCAGAAAAATATCCAGGACCTAATGACTTCACTGGTGAATTCTACCAGATCCTTAAAAATGTATCAGTACTGATCTTTCTTAAACTCTACTCAAAATGTATAAAGGTGGAACACTTTGAAACTCATTTAATAAGACTATCATTACATTATTGACAAAGCAAAACAATGACACTACAAAAAGAGAAAACTACAGGTCCATATCCCTGATGAACATCAAACCATATTGCTTTCATCTGTGTTTTTCAGGATTTATGACTCTCTCTCCTGCAGTTGATGTTCTTGTCATGTGATGTCATCCTACAGATGAAGAGTTTTGTCAAGACGAAATTAGAAAGTTATTGTATAATGTCTCTTCAATTACAAAATGCAACTGTAACCTCAAATGCACCGTACTGATGGCACTCCACAAGTTGAAAGGATTGTTCTATGGAGCAGAGCTGCCCAGTGTTCAGAAATACATATACTGGACTTTGAAGTAGTGAGAAATAAGCCTTTTTTTTTTTTTACTTTTAATGAATTACTTATTTAATTTTGTCATTATTATTGTTCAGTTTAACCAGAGAAAGACAGAGAGAGAGAAAGAAAGACAAAGTGAGAAAGCAAACTGCCAGATCCAGGACTCGAACTGCCGTCAGCCATGTGGGAGTCAAGCATCCCAAACAGGATACCACCTGTCGGCCCCATTTTTTTTTTAAATAAGCTTTTATTACTTCTGGACACTGATACATTTTATGGTTACCTTTAAAGCATGATGAATAGAGTTACACAATTAATGAACATATCATCCTTTTTATAAACTGGTCTCTTCCATAAGATGAACTAGGTTATTATTAGTCACATAGAATACAATTTTTACAGATTCATCAGAAAATATAAATATCTGAAGATCCCTAAACCATATTTTAAAAAATTATCTTCTGTTAAAAACCAATAATATAAATAAAAAAATAAAGTTTATATTACATTGCTAAGAAAAAAATTAAAATTGCTATGTTCTCTAAACATTTCTATATTTATATATACTGTAACAAATATATTGACATAAAAAAATAAAAATCAGTTCAACGTAGATTAACAACATCTATCTCTGGACTACTGTTTTATATTATAACTGATTATTTTCATTTACATATTTTTATATTTTACATTCATGTAAAGTCGAGATCTATACAGTATGAAAATTGAATAAAGTTGATAATATGAATGATCTGGGATTTTATTAAAAAAACACACACAACAAAAATTTCACATGGGATAATGTTATTTATAATTGCTCAAATTAGAACCACTCCCAAGGCAATCCACACTTCAGTGCAAGTCTCTAGTCTGCAGATCCCCAAGGATATTTGTTACTTATTTTGGTGCCAAGATTTAGTTTTTAGGTGAGAGTGTCTCTCTCTCTCATCTGAATTTTCTGAAGAAGTTGGAAAAAGTAATATGTGAAATATCTAATGAAATATACTATAGATTCTTACTACTGTTTCTGAGTGTTTCTATTAGTTAAATACAAGCACAAATATTGGAGTTCATTAATCTTAGCAAAGGATTCTTTGGTCAATGAATCCCTCAAGTACTTCTGTACTTAGGTGAGTTGATTCACTTCTTTTATTTCATTTTAGAAGGAAAATGTTGAGTTTCTGTGATTTTTGCAGGAAATAAACACATGACACGTGTAGGTGGTAATGCCCAAAAGTTTATTGTGTTTTATGTACTTAGGTGAGTTGATTCACTTCTTTTATTTCATTTTAGAAGGAAAATGTTGAGTTTCTGTGATTTTTGCAGGAAATAAACACATGACACGTGTAGGTGGTAATTACTGTGTTTTACCAGGAAAGGGTCTTTGGTAATATAGTTTGATTCTTTCTTTTTTTTCAAGTAATATCCATCCTAATTTTCTCCTTAGGAATCCACTATATAGCCAGCAATAGAATCAACATTTTGGCAAATAGAAAATATTTTAAAAAAAGACATCATCTTCAAACTTCTGAAAATATCTGATGAAGTTAGGGACAGTATCAGTCATATGAGAGGATGCAGTATATGATAACTGTGAGTTATGAATTATAAAAATTAATATTTGCCTGTATATAGAGAAGAAACAATGAGAAATGTTTATAATTGTAGACAACAAATCATAAGGGTGAGTATTAAATGGAAAAATAAGCTTCAAACATATAAGCATTAGTTCTGTAACGGCGTGTTAAATCTCTCAGGACTAGAACAGAATGTGTTAGTTTTAAAGAGATTCAATATTTAAGCCTGTGCATTTCAGAAAACCAGGATGACCAATATTTTATACATTCATTCATAAAAGGCATGAGGAATATTTAAGGTCATTGACTATTCAATGATTATGGAAAAATCTTTCTCACAATGTCGCATAAAATATTTTAAATTGAAGGGGCCAGCAGGTGGTTGTGTGGTAGTTGGGCTCTGAACTCCCACATGGCTGGCTATGGTTCAAATCCCAAACCTGGTGGATTGCTTTCTCACTTTCTTTCTCTCTCTTTCTTTTTCTCTCTCCATGCTGAGGTCTGATTTTTTCATGTTTTATAAATGTTTTTGAAAATACTCTATGTATTCACAATTCTAATAAATAATAAATTAAGCTGATTATCTCTAATGCCACATGCCATTTCTTATGATCTTTACATTTATTAGTAAACTTCCTACTTCTAGCAATTTATTTATTTTTTCTATTGGATACATATGCTAGCTGGAAGATAGAGAGGGAGGGAAAGTGTGAAATTACCCACGAGGAAAATTGGTCACACCACAGTTCCTTGGACAGTTCCTTGTCCTCCATTTTTCTCTTCAGATTTTGTGCATGCACTCACATGGGCCTGGTGTGATTTTCAAGCCACTGAGTCTGGACCTAGAACTACACTGTTCCCCATGAGAGATCCAACCACAGTATGACCTCCATGCCATCTACTATTTATATTAATAACATAAAGATTAACTTTTATATTATTCATATTCTCATTTTGTTATGGTGTCTTGTTTCAAATTATCTCTACCCTTGCCTTTCTCCTTCACTAAGGTTTAAACTTAATTAAAAATGGCAGAATGCACTTTTGCTATGCCACCAATTATTTTTATCTCCATAGTTTTTAAAGAGATTTTTACTTCAGAAGCGTGAACTCACCAGAGAGAGAGACAGAGACAGTTAGAGATAAAGTGAGAAATTACCTCCCGGGACGATGGATACTCCTCTCTCCTTTATCATTCACTTTTCTCCTGGGATCTTTCACACACACACACACACACACACACACACACACACACACACACTCTATGTTATTTTCAAGCCTCCTAATCTGGGACTCGAATCATGTGAATGTCCCGTGACTTCGCTACACCATCTGCTGAACTCATACTTGTCTTTATAATAACATAACTTCTGAAATTTGCTCCATTAGAAAATGAAGAGCTTTTTGGGACCAGCAGTTAGCGTAATGGCTATGTCGTTGTACTCCGTTGCAGTCAACCACTGTTCGAGTCCTGGACCTGGTGGCTTAAACTCATGTCAGGTGTGTGTGCATGCATGCCCAAGATCCTGAGAGGAGAATGGAAGAGAAGGGGTTGCGGCATGGCCATCCCTCCAGGGGGTGATTTCTCACTTTCTGTCTCTCTGTCTTGCTCTCTGTCTTTCCAGTGAACACATGTGCCCTATAGCAAAAACCTCTAAAAAAAAGAGAGAGAGAGAAAAAATGAAGAGCTTTTCATTAAATACTGCTTCAATTATTTAATAACTGCAGACACAGCATATATTTTGTTGTGCTAACAATGAAATAAATAATACAATATTCCATTAAAAGTAACATCTAAAATTCTTCAAGATTATTTCAAAACAGTGTGTGACAATGTTCAGCATGTTACTATATACCTCAATTGCAAAATGTGTTGAAAATATCGAATTATTAGGACTTTAAAAAGCACGTGCACTCACCAGACAGACAGAGAGAGACATAGAGACAGAAAGCAAGAAATCACCCCCCAGGGAGGATGGTCATGCCACAATCCCTTCTCCTCCATTCCCCTCTCAGGATCTTGGGCACGCACACACACACACGCCCGGTGTGAGTTCTAAGCCACTGGGTCCAGGACGCGAACCGTGGTTGACTACGTGGGAGTCCAGCAACATAGCCATTACACTAACTGCTGGTTCCCGACATATGCTAATATTTTACAATACTTTAATAAGATATAAATAATTGTGTAAAAACTTAAGAGATTAGGCAGGAAAGACACTATAGAAACTTGTGAGATGGAGCCTCAAAGCAAAAAACTCTCATTATTCTTAGATACATGCAATCAGTTAGAGTGGCCTTTTTGATGAAGCCAAATGTGAATGATAGTGAATCATATTTTTGAAACATAATGAGGCACACTTTTTTTCTCCAATATTAGTTTTTTGTTGTTGTTGTTGTTGTTGTTTTTAAGCCATTCCACTTAGGAAAACAAAATCTTATTCACTATGCTATTGCATTACACGTGAACACCAACTTCTGAAATAATATAGCATGGGAAATCTAGTACTTAGCAGTCTAAATACCCGTTAAGCCTCTCCAGACGTCTTTCTTTCCTTTTTTATTGGCAATATTAGTTGTCACTTCTCTGAGTTGGCTTTCCAATTGTGTTCGTAGGATCCCAGAAAATCAGAGTTCTGAAGTCACCTTCATCCTCTTGGGCTTCTCAGAATATCCGGACCTCCAGGTGCCTTTGTTCCTCATCTTCCTGATCATCTACACAATCACAGTGGTAGGAAACTTGGGCATGATCGTCATCATCAGGATGAACCCCAAACTCCACACCCCCATGTACTTTTTCCTTAGCCACTTGTCCTTTGTTGATTTCTGTTACTCTACTGCAGTGACACCCAAACTACTAGAAAACTTATTTGTGAAAGACAGAACCATCTCCTTCACAGGATGTATCATGCAATTCTCCTTTGCCTGCACATTTGTGGAGACAGAAACATTCATGTTGGCAGTGATGGCCTATGACCGATTCGTGGCTGTTTGCAACCCTCTGCTCTACACAGTTACCATGTCTCAGAAGTTTTGTTCCTTGCTGGTGGGTGCATCGTATTTTTGGAGTACAGTCTGTTCCTTAACATGCACATCTTATTTGTTGACTCTAACTTTCTCTGGAACTAATTTTATGAATAATTTTTTCTGTGAATATGCTACCATTATTGCTATTTCCCGCTCTGACCCTTACCTCGGCCAGATGATCGCATTTGTCCTTACACCATTAAATGAAATAGGCACCTTGGTGATCATTCTTACTTCCTATGTTTTCATTTTTGTCACTGTCATGAAAATGCCTTCACGTGGAGGACGCTACAAAGCCTTCTCCACTTGTGCCTCCCATTTAACCTCCATCACTATTTTCCACGGTACCATCCTTTTTCTCTATGGTGTTCCTAATTCCACAAATTCATGGCTTTTGGTGAAGGTGGCCTCTCTCCTTTACACAGTGGTCATCCCCATGCTAAATCCCCTGATCTATAGTCTCAGGAACAAAGTTGTAAAGGAAACAATCCGGAAGTTAATCCACACTAAATTATTATGTTATAAATTATAGTAAAAGAAATATTAATTATTTATGGAGAATTTGTAGAGTCATTCAATAACAAATCAGTACATGAATCTATGTTAGAATTCTAATTGATAGTTTAATATCTGTTCCCAAAGTTATTCAATGAAATAATTGTTAAATTACAAATATGATTCTGGATAAAAAAACTTAGATAATTAAACTTACATATTTACTTAGGTTTTGTAATACAAAGGCCTCTGAATTACTATAATTTATCTTGTATCTGCCCTGATAATTTTTCAGTTTAGTATAAATCTTGTCAAGTATGGAATTTTTGAGATAATCTCATGAATTTTATCTTAAAAAGAGGAAATCTATACTTTAATATAAAACTAGTATGTTAAGAGCCATTCCTAATAAAACATTAATGTCAAAAGTTATTTAAATATGTTAAGAACAATCTTGTCATACTGCAAAAAGAAAAAATAAGAAATATAACTCCCTGGGCCAGTGCTGGCTTGGTGGCTAAGTCTTCTGGATCCCACATAGTTGACTTCGAACCTGGAGTTCTGGACCTGGCAACTTGGGGTGTGTGTGCGTGGATGCCCAAGATTCCCAAGAGGAGAACAGAAGGGACTGTATCATGACTGTATCCCCTCTTGGGGGGATTTCTTATTTTTTTCTCTCTATCTTTCTGTCTCTGTCTCTCTCCAGTGAGCATACATGCACTATAGAAAACTTAAAAAAAAAAAAAAAAAACAGAAAAGAAACATAACTCTTTCACAATGTCCAGGATTGGGTGTAAATTAAATTTTAGATTCCAAGTCACATGTATTTTCTGTCTATGCTCAAGAATAATATTTATTTTGCAAATATACACCCATCACCCTAATCTTGTAATTTTTATTAGTTATTTGTCTATTTTTTTATTAAAATTTTTATTGAGAAAATCTTAATTTAATTTCACATGTAAGAAAGAACATGTAAGAAAGAGATCCCAATGTGCTGTTCACCAGACAGACAGAGAGAGACATAGAGACAGAAAGCAAGAAATCACCCCCCAGGGAGGATGGTCATGCCACAATCCCTTCTCCTCCATTCCCCTCTCAGGATCTTGGGCACGCACACACACACACGCCCGGTGTGAGTTCTAAGCCACTGGGTCCAGGACGCGAACCGTGGTTGACTACGTGGGAGTCCAGCAACATAGCCATTACACTAACTGCTGGTTCCCGACATATGCTAATATTTTACAATACTTTAATAAGATATAAATAATTGTGTAAAAACTTAAGAGATTAGGCAGGAAAGACACTATAGAAACTTGTGAGATGGAGCCTCAAAGCAAAAAACTCTCATTATTCTTAGATACATGCAATCAGTTAGAGTGGCCTTTTTGATGAAGCCAAATGTGAATGATAGTGAATCATATTTTTGAAACATAATGAGGCACACTTTTTTTCTCCAATATTAGTTTTTTGTTGTTGTTGTTGTTGTTGTTTTTAAGCCATTCCACTTAGGAAAACAAAATCTTATTCACTATGCTATTGCATTACACGTGAACACCAACTTCTGAAATAATATAGCATGGGAAATCTAGTACTTAGCAGTCTAAATACCCGTTAAGCCTCTCCAGACGTCTTTCTTTCCTTTTTTATTGGCAATATTAGTTGTCACTTCTCTGAGTTGGCTTTCCAATTGTGTTCGTAGGATCCCAGAAAATCAGAGTTCTGAAGTCACCTTCATCCTCTTGGGCTTCTCAGAATATCCGGACCTCCAGGTGCCTTTGTTCCTCATCTTCCTGATCATCTACACAATCACAGTGGTAGGAAACTTGGGCATGATCGTCATCATCAGGATGAACCCCAAACTCCACACCCCCATGTACTTTTTCCTTAGCCACTTGTCCTTTGTTGATTTCTGTTACTCTACTGCAGTGACACCCAAACTACTAGAAAACTTATTTGTGAAAGACAGAACCATCTCCTTCACAGGATGTATCATGCAATTCTCCTTTGCCTGCACATTTGTGGAGACAGAAACATTCATGTTGGCAGTGATGGCCTATGACCGATTCGTGGCTGTTTGCAACCCTCTGCTCTACACAGTTACCATGTCTCAGAAGCTTTGTTCCTTGCTGGTGGGTGCATCGTATTTTTGGAGTACAGTCTGTTCCTTAACATGCACATCTTATTTGTTGACTCTAACTTTCTCTGGAACTAATTTTATGAATAATTTTTTCTGTGAATATGCTACCATTATTGCTATTTCCCGCTCTGACCCTTACCTCGGCCAGATGATCGCATTTGTCCTTACCACATTAAATGAAATAGGCACCTTGGTGATCATTCTTACTTCCTATGTTTTCATTTTTGTCACTGTCATGAAAATGCCTTCACGTGGAGGACGCTACAAAGCCTTCTCCACTTGTGCCTCCCATTTAACTTCCATCACTATTTTCCACGGTACCATCCTTTTTCTCTATGGTGTTCCTAATTCCACAAATTCATGGCTTTTGGTGAAGGTGGCCTCTCTCCTTTACACAGTGGTCATCCCCATGCTAAATCCCCTGATCTATAGTCTCAGGAACAAAGTTGTAAAGGAAACAATCCGGAAGTTAATCCACACTAAATTATTATGTTATAAATTATAGTAAAAGAAATATTAATTATTTATGGAGAATTTGTAGAGTCATTCAATAACAAATCAGTACATGAATCTATGTTAGAATTCTAATTGATAGTTTAATATCTGTTCCCAAAGTTATTCAATGAAATAATTGTTAAATTACAAATATGATTCTGGATAAAAAAACTTAGATAATTAAACTTACATATTTACTTAGGTTTTGTAATACAAAGGCCTCTGAATTACTATAATTTATCTTGTATCTGCCCTGATAATTTTTCAGTTTAGTATAAATCTTGTCAAGTATGGAATTTTTGAGATAATCTCATGAATTTTATCTTAAAAAGAGGAAATCTATACTTTAATATAAAACTAGTATGTTAAGAGCCATTCCTAATAAAACATTAATGTCAAAAGTTATTTAAATATGTTAAGAACAATCTTGTCATATTGTAAAAAGAAAAAATAGGAAATATAACTCCCTGGGCCAGTGGTGGCTTGGTGGCTAAGTCTTCTGGATCCCATATAGTTGACTTCGAACCTGGAGTTCTGGACCTGGCAACTTGGGGTGTGTGTGCATGGATGCCCAAGATTCCCAAGAGGAGAACAGAAGGGACTGTATCATGACTGTATTCCCTCTTGGGAGGATTTCTTATTTTTTTCTCTCTATCTTTCTGTCTCTGTCTCTCTCCAGTGAGCATACATGCACTATAGAAAACTTAAAAAAAAAAAAAAAAAAAAAAAAAAAAAAATAACTCTTTCACAATGTCCAGGATTGGGTGTAAATTAAATTTTAGATTCCAAGTCACATGTATTTTCTGTCTATGCTCAAGAATAATATTTATTTTGCAAATATACACCCATCACCCTGATCTTGTAATTTTTATTAGTTATTTGTCTATTTTTTTATTAAAATTTTTATTGAGAAAATCTTAATTTAATTTCACATGTAAGAAAGAACATGTAAGAAAGAGATCCCAATGTGCTGTTATTTACTTTTCTCCTTGATAGTACAGAATAATAGTCAGGATATTCTTATTAATACAATATGCAGATGTTATATAAGCACCAGTAACTTTCTGTGGAACTAATTTTATGACTGATCATTTCTGTAAATATGCTACCGTTGTTGTTATTTCCCACTCTGACCCTCACATCAGCCAGATGATCATATTAGACCTTACCACATTAAATCAAAGAGGCGACTTGGTGATCATTCTTATATAAGTAATTATTTATTATATAATAATAAGCAGTGGTTTGATCAGATCAATGACTTAATTGAGATAGATCAGCTGATTATCAGTCAGGCCACTTAGGCAGCAACACTGGTAAGTTTCCGCTGTTGCTGTTAATATCGTTTATTCATTTCTCCCATGAAAGAGAAAGAGGATGATAAAGAAGGAGAAAGGCCCCTACAACAGGCTGTCCATGACATGACTCACCCCTATCCGAAGCCAGGCCAGCTCAAGGACAAACATATGCCCACATTTCCAGCATGCGTAGGGAGACACTTCAATACAAACCGGGGACGTTCCCAGGTGGGTTCACTTACGGTACACTGCACAAGTGTCTGGTCTCATTAGTGGGTAATCTGATCAGTACGTCTTCAATCTGCAGTCCTGCATCTCCTTTGGACCACTTGGCTTGTGGTCTCTGTGGAAAACAGGTGTTTGCATGAAAGTAAACAACAGTGTATGCCAACAATAAAAGCATAGTTCAAGTCCTTATTTGGCTCTCACCTGTTAATATTTTGTGAGTCAGAGAAAATCCTAAGATTAAGCATAAATTGAAGAGGTGAGAAAATTTTCTGCCTCTCATAGAACTGCAAAGTTATAAGTCCACAGTCCTGGGTATTGAGAGAAGATTTGGGATCAAAATCAATCAAAAACTAATTTAAAAGTTTACTCAATATACATATTTTATCTAGAAAATGGCAAATAACTTTATCATAAATTTATCAACAAAATAAAGGAGAAAGCCAAGTTTGTTTATGTATATGTAGTAAATATATTTGATAAAAATTTCATCTTATATTAGTGAGAGGTCTCCAGACCAACAGAACTAATAGTATGTATACCTTAATCAGTCTCTCTCTCTCTATCTCTCTTTCTCTATACCTACCTCTCTCTCTTTCTCTCTCTCTCTTTCTCTATACCTAACTCTACACCTACCTGTATATCTATCTTTAGGTCTCTTTCTCTCTGTCTTGCATATAGATCTATTCTTGTTCTGTCTCTATAAAGGGTTTTATTCTAAAAAGTTGGCTCATGTGATTATGAAGGCTGAGTTTCAGGATTTGAAGGTTAAGTCATAAATCTGGAATCTGTAGATTAAACTAACTCTTATTAAGTTCATTAGCATATACTCCCTTCTAAAAATATTTAAATGGAACATTTTTCTGTTGTCAGATTTCT